CTCTGGCCTTCCTCTGCAGGCATGTGTGCTCTCTCTCTCTCTCTCTCTCTCTCTTTTAAAATAAATTAATTGGGGCACCTGGGTGACTCGGTCGGTTGAGAGTCCGACTTCAGCTCAGGTCATGATCTCACAGTTTGTGAGTTTAAGCCCTGCATCGGGCTTCATGATTACAGCCAGAGCCTACTTGGGACTCTCTTTCTCTCTTCCTCCCTCTCTCTCTGTCCCTCTCTTGCTTACTCTTTCTGTCTCTCCAAATAAATAAAAATAAACCTAACAAAAAAAGTAAGTTCAAATGTTTTTAAATACAAAAATGATACATGGATTTGCTAATGCCTTCTGGAAACAATAAAGTACAATAAACAGTTCAGAAGGCACAACCCTTTGGGGCTTCCCCTGGGCTCTGCCTCCCAGCCCACAGGGGATATCGTACAGGTGCAGCCCCATCTGACTCACTGTGAGTCACTCATGGTGCAGTAATACACAGCAGTGTCTCTCAGGGCAGCCCGGGGCAGGCTCAGGGTGCTGGACGTCCTGTCCGCAGAGATGAACAGGGATGCCACTTCATTTTCCACGTTTGTCTTATATCCTTGAATAACAAATTGTGGTCCCTGGTTGGGGAACTGTCGGTACCAGTGGATATACTCATTTGTAGCGATCTTGGTGTGGTTACAGGGTATGTTCACTTCTTGTCCTTCGTAGGACTCGATGAATACGGGCTGGGTGGTCTTAGCGAGGCTCAAAGTACCTGTAAAAGGAGTCAACACACAATACTAGCTCCTATCCTGAAACTGGGTGGATTGAAGGCCCAACTCGGCACCTCCAGGTTCTCTCTCACAGTCAAATCCACCCCCACATCCTCCTTCCCCACCATATGCAGACACATACAATTTCCTTCCCATTTGTGTTTTAGGACACTTTTTAAAAATATTTATTTTGAGAACCCCAGGAACATATGTACAAAAGTAACAGGGGCAATATCTCCCACCCATGGAGGGGTAATATTTCCCAGGGCTCAGTAATCCAGAACATCTTTATTGCCCTGAGTCACCCCTTGCATGAATGGTGAGGTTCTACCTAGAGAAACACAGGACCCCACAGCCAGTCCTTGACATCTTAGGTAAAGAGCAATGATAACAGGCAAGAAAGAGTCCAGCGTCTAGTCCCAGCCACACCCTAATTCCTTTTAATCCCAAAATAACTCACCCAAGAGCAAGAGCACAGTCACTCTTGTCACCTGCCTCATATCCTAGGTCTAAACCCGGCCCTGGGGTCGCGGTCCTGTTGCAGAGTCTGAGACTGGCCTGGGACACGAACCAGAAAAGAGGCACAGCAGGAAAGCCAGAGCCACACTAGCAGCTGTCACCCAGGGCTGTCCCCAGCAGCTGTCATCTAGGGCTGTCCCCAGCAGGTATCACCTGGGGCTGTCTCCAGCATAAGCCAATAGCACCGACAGCACCTCCCCAGATGAGCTTCCCCCTAAGGTTCAACTGAACACTCAGGAAGAAGAATAAAAGGTAAAAGCTTCCAGCACAACAGCACAGCAACCCCAATTTCCTTTTCGTTCTTTGCGAAGGTATAACCCCTTGTAGATTTGGTCTGAAGGAAGCTAATATATCAGAGGGTAGATTCCACCAGGTTCCTTATTCCCCATCACATCACTTTTCCCACAGTCCCAGAAGACGGCCATTGATTGTAATCAGTGTGATACTCATAAAGCTGAGAATGACCCCTGACCTGGTCCTATATGCCTGGAATCCTCCCCATTCGTCCTATGCAACCAGATGAAAGGGAAATGCTAATCTTATTCCACAAAAGAGCCCATGAGCTTGTCTGAACTGGACCTTTCCTCTCCTGACACCCTGGTGTCCTTTTATAATCTCACTAAGTCCACATCTAACAACTGCGTCTCAGACTTCACTTAACAATTGTTGCACAGAGGAGGAGACCCCTCACTGGTCCCTACTGACCAGCTGGCCTAGGACATTTGATGCCGAATCATTCACCCAACCAGAGAGGAAGTGAGGTGATGAAGAAGAAAAGGCACTCAAATTCAGAGTCAGACAGACTTAATTTCAAGTCCTAGTTCTGCCATCTTTTGACCTTGAGCAACTTCCCTGGTCTGAACTTCAATTTCTTCATGCCCTTCCTTCTCATCTGAATCAGTGAAAGTAGTTGTGCAGGATTATATATGGTTTTTTATAATAAATATATATAAATATATATATATATATAAAACATATATGTGTTTTTTTTAATTTTATTTAAATCCCAGTTTGTCAACTTACAGTGTAAGAATGGTTTCAGGAGTAGAACCCAGTGATTCATTACTTACATATAACACCCAGTGCTCATCCCAACAAGTGTCCTCCTTAATACCCGTCACCCATTTAATGCATCCCTCCCACCCAACACCCCTCCAGCAACCCTCAGTTTGCTCTCTGTATCTAAAAATCTCTTATTGGTTTGCCTCCCTCTGTTTTTATCTTACTTTTCCTTCCCTTCCCCTATGTTCATCTGTTTTATTTCTTAAATTCCACATATGAGTGAAATCATATGGTATTTGTCTTTCTCTGACTAACTTTTTCACATATGTCAAATCTTTATCCATTCATCAGTCAATGGACACTGGGTCTCTTTCCACACGTTAGCTATTGCTGACAGTGCTGCTATCAACATTGGGGTGCATGCACCCCTTCGAATCAGCATTTTTGTATCTTTTGAATAAATACCTAATAGCACAATTGCTGGGTTGTAAGGCAGCTTCATTTTTAATTTTTTGAGGAATCTCCACGCTGTTGTTCAGAGTGGCTGCGCCAGTTTGCATCCCCGCCAATAGTGCCCAAGTGCTCCCCTTTCTCTACATCCTTGCCAACATCTGTTGTTTCCTGAGTTGTTAATTTTAGCCATTCTGACAGATGTGAGGTGAGAGCTCATTGTGGTTGTGATATGTATTTCGCTGATGATGAGTGATGTCGAGCATCTTTTCATGTGTCTGTTAGCCATCTGCATGTCCTCTTTGGAGAAGTGTCTGTCCACATTTTTCCCCCTTTTCTACACTGGATTATTTGGAGGGGAGGTGTTGAGTTTGATAAGTTCTTTATAGATTTTGGATACTAACCTTTATCTGCTATGTCAGTGCAAATATCCTCTCCCATTCCATCGCTTGCCTTTTAGTTTTGTTGATTATTTCCTCTGCTGTGCAGAAGCTTTTCATCTTCATGAGGTCCCAAGACTTCATTTTTGCTTTTATTACACATGATTTTTTAAAATAATGCCATTCACTCTTCCATCAAGACATATCCAATATAAATTCAATAATAGTAATAACTCATGCACATACAACCCAACAACAACAAACACCATTTAGGAAAAGAGACAAATCCCCAAAACACCTAATGTTAATGGAATCTGCCAACTACAATAATCAAAACATACCAGATACTCACATTAATGTGGTGTGATTCCTTGGCTCATATAATATGCGAATGGAAAATCACTAGAAAATATTTAGGAGGTGACTTTTAGGTCTAGAATTGTCCAATTTGTTCTGAGTGAACAATTTTTCCATTTCCTCAAGTAAACATTAGTGAATGCGGATGACTTCTAGTGACATTTTAGATATCACAAGTCATGAATAAATAACCAACTTGCCCGCAGTAGCAAATGGAGGAGAAAAGAAGTATTTCAGGGGAAGCTAAAGACTCTAGAACACCTTGTACATAAATAAAGCAAATAGAGTCAACTAATTACAACAGCGACCCCAAGTGGTCACTATACCTGGACAGAAGAAATGTTTCTCAAAAGTCAGTATGTCTCAGACCCAGCAATTTATGGAAATTATAATCTTTGTTAAACAGAGTAGCAAGTGGTTGGGCTTGGTCACATGGACTATGGAGTATATTTTGTGCAAAGGAAAAAAAGACCCTTACAAAGAGGATTGTAAGTGATTCTCAGGACTTGCTAGTTGTGTATTTAGTGCAAAGCATTTGTTCTCTTCATCTCTATGAGAGAGATTAAAAGATCAATTAAGTATGCATAAGAAAATTCTCTCTAAGCCTTAATGTTCTATACAAATGCAAACTATGTTTAACATAGGAAATCACAAGAAAAATGATCTTACTGTTCAGGTCGACAAATGTAACTTGATATCTCTGTGTTGCTATCTATTATCTTGTTCTGGGAGAACGTTACTGGATATCAAGCAAGTAGAGAAAGAAACACTAGTTTTCCCATGTATCAGTCTTTAGAATGAAAGTAATTGTTAATGGCTGTGGTGTTATGGGTTGAACTGTGCCCCCCCCCCCCCAACACGCACCAACGGAGCGGGGGGGGGGGGGGGGGGACTTGGAGTCTTAATCTCTAGCAAATTAGAATATGACCTTATTTAGACAAATTGTCTTTACAGAAATAATGAAGTTATATGAGGTTATTTGAATGGAATTTAATCCAACATGATTAGTATCTTTTAAAAAAAGGAAATTTGGGAACTCCAGGGTGGCTCAGGTGGTTCAAGTGTCTGACTCTCTATTTCGGCTCAAATCATAATCTCATGGCCTTCAGATCAAGCCCTGCACCAGAATCTGCACTGACAACATGTAGCCTTCTTGGAATTCTCTCTCTGCCTCTCTCTCTGCCACTCCCCTGCTCTCTGTCTCTATCTCTCCAGAAAAAGAAGGAGAAGAAGAAGAAGAAGAAGAAGAAGAAGAAGAAGAAGAAGAAGGAGGAGGAGGAGGAGGAGGAGGAGGAGGAGGAGGAGAGTGGGAATTCTTAGTTACAAAAGTTAGGTAAAGGAAAATATAAATATTCACTACTGGAGCCTCCAGCTGACTTGACCCTAACAGATTCCTACTCTCACTCCACTGTAGTAATCATCTCTGTCATATTAGCATAGCCCCAACCTTCCTCAACCTCATCCAATGATGGACTGATGGAAATCTCAACTCCATCTTTTTGAGATGATGTTAAAATGAAAGAGCTGAGTAAATGACAGAAGCATTCACTAAAAATTCTCCCTGTGCCTGGTGATTTTATTTTATCACATTTTCCTCAGTCGCTTCCTCTAATATTAACCTTCCTCTTTCCATTCAGTTTTTCAAATAGGCACACACACAGATGGAATTATCTAGGATCTTAAGGAAAGTTCCTCAGTTAGGGTGAAGCTTAGAGTGTCCCTAGTGGATTACAACCATCGGCGTAGACTGTCATAGTACTCTCCTCTCTGGTCACAAGTCAAATGGCAATCACAGCACAAAACCCATCCCTGCCACTGTCCCATCCAAAGTGATTCTCTGAGCAAGTTCCAGTCTCCAGTCTGTTGGCGACATTGTGTCTGTTTTTTTTTTTTTTTTCATAAGTTGTCCTTTCCTCATGAATCCTGACTCTTGGAAGATTAGAACCATGTCTGCACAAGAACTAAGCAGTTTAGTCCCCTCTGTCCATCTTGTCACCATAGAACATAAGGTCTCACTGAAAGTGCCCCAGGTTGATCCCTTGAGTCACTGGAAGCCTCACATTCACCAGAAGTTGGTGTTCAGCATCCCCTGCAGTCCCAGGCACTGTGTCACTCACAGCACAGAAGTACTTGGCTGCGTCGCTCCACTGGACTGCAGGTTTCCTCAGGTGGAAGGCCTTTTCACTCTTCCTAAATTCAGCCTCGAAACCTTCGGTGCCTTTCACCAGGATGTCCCCTGATATGTACTTCAAGAGAAGCCGGAGTCCTTGGTTGGGGTGCTGCACGTACCAGAAGAGATACACCTGAACAGAAGACGAGTAGTTGCACCTCAGCTCCAGAGGGGCTCCTTCAGAGACAGTGATGTGGACATCAGGCTGGGTCACTGACTGGGCTCCGGTTCCTCCTGAAACATCAATATGCTGAGTCAGTGAGACCAGGAAAGACTTACCGATTAAGAAGAGGTGTCTCTCCTCAGAGTCCAGTTGTAATACTGTACCGGTAGGGAACAAGAAGATGAAATAGAATTTTACTCACTCGGGGCAAAAAGTATCATAAACACAAGCATGGTGACAGGAGCCAAGCTCATGGCTGAGGACGGAAGAAACTGTAGTCCCCTTTTTGAAGATCTTTCCTGAGCAAGAAGGAGTATGGTTGAGGAAACAGTACCCTTGGAACAAGGAAGAATGTGTATGGTGGGTGCCCTAGAATCTTGTGTAATTGCATTCCAGAAACGTCTGGAAGAGTCTTTTCCTTGAAAATCTGGGTGTTTCCTGACTTCTAAATTCTGTGAAGAGCTCCATCTGGACTCTTCAGTCAGCTCTGTGAAGGAGGAGCTAAAGGAAGGATGGTTGGGAGGGAGGGAGATCTTCAAGTATAATTCTAGTGTGTGCATCATTGCCCTCTGGAGGCCAAGCAGAAGTAGTTCTTCTGGTGAGCCTTGTCATGCCTTTTACTCTTTCAGGCACCACTGGAGAGGAATGTAGAAGAAGGCCGAGCAAACTTCTAATGTCAGGTAACTCAGGAACATTCTTCCCTTTCACCTGAAACCATGCATAGTAACAATCCCCACAGATGCACAATTTTCTCATGCCTGCAGAGACGTGATGTGATTTGTGACTGTTCTGACATTTCCTCCTTCTGTAATATGTGAGTATGTGACCCTCCAAGGTCCATACTGTTCATCTCAGGTATGAAGACACATAAGAAGAGAGAAACTAACAGCCTTCACAGAAAAATTGATTAGGCGAGAACAGTAGTCGTCTCAGTCATTGTCCATAACAAGATTACATGGAAAACATCTAATAGTCCTTAGGGCAAAAGAATCAGGCCGATTGACCCAGGTTCAGTTTTGTTTATGGAGCTATTGACAGGTTGAAATTGAGCATCGTGACAATTAAAACATACAAAAAATTACCTATCTGTTGCTAAAAGAAGAAAATAGGAAAGAAAAGTGCCAGGATTCCCCTTAACATCCCACAAAATCAATTCCAGAAAGGTAAGGCCATTTTAGCAGGATATGTATTAAAAACTGGGAGTTTTAAGCCAACAGGTGATAAAAAGTAAAAAAAGAAGGTAGGTTCTTCTCAGTAGATAAGAAATTAAAAGAATATAAACAATGAGAAAATGAAAGTATATTGCTCTGGCACACCTGGGTGGTTCAGTCGGTCGAGTCCGACTCTTGATCTCAGCTCAGGTCATGATCTCATGGCTCGTGAGATCAATCCCTGCATCGGGCTCGGCACTGACAGCAGAGAGCCTGCTTGGGATTCTCTCTCTCTCTCCCTCTCTCTCTGCTCAAAATAAATAAATAAATAAACTTAAAAGAGAGAGAGAGAGAGGCATCAAGTCCAGTCCCTCAAGGGTGTATGTAAGATGTGAGCAGAGGAGCCGAAAGCAGCCTGCATGTTTAAACTACATGTTTAAATTCTCCCTTGATTCAAATTCTCCTTGCACTATAGCTTCACCCCCTCCTTCCTTCACAGCAGAGCTAACCTGCTCCCTTCCTCATCGCACATCACATGTTGTGCCATCCTCTATCTTGGCACTTGCCAAACTGTTCTGAGTCGCTGTTGGTTCACTCTACAGCCAACAGCACTCTTTTTGGCAGGAACCATCCAGGGAGTTGGGGCTGCCCCATCGCCGAAATCAGTCTCATGCCCTCAGAGAGCCTTAAGGCTGGCAGAGCAGGGGAGCGGTTAGACCGGGCACCTGAGAGACAGACTGCCTGGGTTGCAACTCACCGTTTCACGGTTTTGTGACTTGAGTGAGAACTTGAGTTCTCTGGGCCTTAGTCTCTTCACCGGCAAAGTAAACCTCATGCTAACAGTTGTGAGAATTACACTGGGTTCGTAAATGTTTGGGGATCACATGGGGCACATAGAAAGCAAAGATAGCTTCTTACATCTATTTGTCATCAGTGCTCAGTACAGTACCGAGCACATAAGGATTCATAAATATCTGTCCCATGAACAAATTCTGTGGCTTGAAATTGTAATTTAGTTATGATGAGTGACATATCCTAGAGCCACACCACCTTCTGTGGAGAGCCATACAGGCTTCAGGAAAACAGTTTCACTGTGGTACTCGGGGGTTTGTGCTCAGCTCCGCCTCCAGCCCCCACCACTGTGTCTGTCACCGCACAGAAATACACAGCAGAGTCACTCCCAAGGATGGATGGTTTCTTCAGGTGGAAAGAGGTTTGGCTCTTATTAAATTCAGCCTCAAAACCGTAGTTGCCTTTGACCAGGTTGGCCCCTGTGATGTATTTCAGAAGGAACCGGAGACCTTGGTTGCGATGTTGGACATACCAAAAGAGATACGGGCTTCCAGAAACCGAATAGTTGCATTTCACAGTCACTGGATCCCCTTCGGCAACAGTGACCTGATCTGGCTGAGACACCGACTGAGCTCTCAGCCCACCTGTAAATGAATCCACACTCCATCAGTGAAGCTGCTGTAAAGCATGTAAGTGGGTAATACAAGTGGAAAATGGGGAAGGCACATTACTCACTCAGTGTGAAGACAATCACAAGCATCGAGATGCATGTAGAGGCCATGGTTTAAGCTGCGCTGGCTGGGGACTCCTTTCCAGCCCACCCCAGCTGGAGATTAAGTCCCACCCCAGAGAACAGGCTCTCAAAGAGGGATCAGCACCCTTTTGTCAGGGCAGAGTTTTAATAAATGGCTCTGCTTTGGGGAACCTGTTGTTTCCTGGCACCTGTGTCTTTCTGTTGAGCAAGCTCTTGGCCCAGATTCTGCAAAGCTAGGTGAGGAAGCCAGACTGCTATTCCTCTTGCACCTGGAACAAGCCTCACACTACATCGCCCCCTAGCGTCCACACACAGACCCGGGTGACTTAAAAAAATTTTTTTTTAGTGTTTATTTATTTTTGAGAGAGAGAAGGACAGAGCACAAGCTGGGGAGGGGCAGAAGAGAAAGGGAGACACAGAATCCGGAGCAGGCTCCAGGCTCTGAGGTGTCAGCACAGAGCCCGATGTGGGGCTCAAACTCAGGAACCGTGAGATCATGACCTGAGCCGAAGTCCGACACTTAACCCACTGAGCCACCTAGGCGCCCCAGAGCCTGGTAACTTTATCATCAAGTAGCTGGGGTTTCCAAGTCTTACCATCATAGGGCCAGAATTCTGGATGTTTACACTTTCCATGAGCCACAAAGGGAGAATTTGCTGTTCAAGGAAAAGAAGCAGGAGTCTGTGAATCAAAGTGGAAAAAACACATGTCGAGTGGATCAAGGTTTCACTGGTTTGTGCTCTATTTAGATAACATAAAAGACAGAAGGGAAGTAGAATTTTTTTAATAGGATGGGAAAATAAATAGAAAAGAGGAGGAAAAGCATAGCTTTGGGTGAAAAGGGAAAGAAAAAGAAAAATGAGCGATAAGAAAAGGCAAAATAGGAGAAGAAGGTAAGAGAAGAGAAATCAGAGAGGAAGAGAACCTTGTTCCCTTCAGAAGTAAATTAGAGCCAGCTTCTATGTAAACCCTTTGGACTGAAAAATAATTGTTTTGTTTTCTAGGTTGGGCCTGTGGGAGAACCCTCCCCATAATGACCTTTAAGTAAAGATTCATACAAAATGAACTTGAACCCAGCCTTTAAATATTTTTAAGGAGAGAAAAGGAAGGGATGGTATTATATGCTCCTCCTGACACAGTTGTCCTGTTAAATAGTAGATTATAAAGACAAAAGGAAAAGCCCTCTGTGAAGGAGCTGAAAAATAGAGATTTTCCACGCGGGGAGGCTGTTTAGAACAAAGTTCAAAACTTGATGGTTAAGTAAGCTTGAGGTACTATGATGATAAAGGGCTCATTTCAAGGGGAGTAAAGTGTTGTACTTAAAAAATGCCACAATAGTGGCAGAGCAATTGTTCAATAAACTTTATTGAGATGAAACAAGTAAGTATCAATATAAAGACATCATTCCTCTGATATGCCTTATTTTTCCTTTAAGTAATGTCCAGGAGCATTGGTGGCTCAGTTGGTTAAGCCTCTGAACTTGGCTCAGATCATGACCTCACAGCTCAGCTGGTGAGTTTGAGAGTTTGAGCCCCAAATCAGGCTCTGTGCTGACAGCTCGGAGACTGGAGCCTGCTTTGGATTCTGTGTCTCCCTCTCTTTCTCTGCCCCTCCCCTGCTCGCTCGCTCTCTCTCTTTCTCAAAAATAAACATTAAAAATAATAATGTCCAAATAAGCCATATATTTTAGAAAGAGATTAGAAAATCTCTTTGCTTTGAATCAGAAGAAAAGCGGATCATAGCTGTTTCTGAAAGCTTGCTAAGTATCTCGTACATAAATGGTTGAAACCTTAACACTATGATAATGTCTTTCTTTGGAATATGTAAATTAGCTGTAAGTACTCATCCTCAAGCCGCAGGAGGCCTGTGATGAATAGGAACCTATAATAAATTCCTTCTCTTTCTGCCTAGCGCCTAAGAGGAGTGTTAGCCTTGCATCTTTGAGGGCCCTGGCAATCACCTCAAGAGGATATCTGGAACAAAGTTTAATGAAAAGGATATTTTAAACTTTTTGTGGGCAGATTTAAGGGAAACGTGGAAGAGAAGGTGAAGCACCCAGGGCCTAGCAACAGCCAGAAGACTGAACCACTTGTAGGCCTGAAGGGAAGAAGGAAGAAATTACCGTGACCTGGGGACACCTGCGAATGAGGGCAACTACGACCCAGCAGGACCTATGGGCTGGAGTACAAGGAAGAAGATGTGGCCCACAGCAATGTCAAGGAGCTTCAGTCCGAGATCCCAGGTACTTCTTTCAGACTGCCTACTGCCTTTCCCGTTAAACTATTTATAAACATCAGAATGCTGTAAATGTCACTGATTTCCCAGGAGACAACAAGAGAGGATTCATGTAAAATAATGAGAAAGCCCTTTGCAAACATCAGACTCTGCAATGTAGGTTATATTCGTGATAGAAGTATCAGAGAAAAATCAGCACAAGATAAAGTTACTGGAACAAAAAGGAAAATCGGTGGTTTTTTTCATATGAAACATGGGATTCAATCCAACTAAGAAAATAATACTTATTTCACATAAATTAGGGAACTCTCAGAAGAAAGGGGGGAAATCCACGATTTAACTTCTCTCCTTCCAATAGAGGACACCATAAATCATTGACCCTCCTCATCTCCATGGACTGAAGAGATTTTCTACTTTCTTTGGGCCCAGTACTTTCCCTCACCTGGACCCAGTTTCCTTACCGATTCCTTTTAGTTTAATGATAGCTCAAGCTACACTTGAGGTGTGTTGTAAGTTCTAGGAATTGTATTTTTAAAGAAATACAAGCCAACCAGAAACTGTTTGAGGTGTACAATAGAGAGAGAAATAAAAAATGTGGCATACCAGGCCCCTGGCTGGTTCAGTTGGTAGAGCATGTGACTCTTAATCTCAGGGTTGTGAGTTCAAGCCCCATGTTAGGTACAGAGATTACTTAAAAAGAAAATCTTTAAAAAAATGTTTTTTAAATAATTGGTTTTTTTAAATGTTGCATACATATAATAAACGGTTAGGAAAACAAATATTTACTATGGAAAAAAAACTGCTCGGTGGCAATGTGAAATCTGGTAAAAAATTTATAAAGGAGACATGTGGGGGCACCTGGGTGGCTCTGTCAGTTGGACGTCCGACTTCAGCTCGGATCATGATCTCACAGTTTGTGAGTTCGAGCTCCTTGTCGGGCTCTGTGCTAACAGTGCAGACCCTGGAGCCTGCTTTGAGTTCCGTCTCTCCCTCTGCCCCACCCCCTGCTCATACTCTGTCTCTATCTCTCTCAAAAATAAATAAACATTGAGGTGTCTGGGTGGCTCAGTTGGTTGAGCATCTGACTTTGGCTCAGGTCATAATCTCACAGTCTATGTGTTCAAGCCCCACGTCAGGCTCCGTGCTGACAGCTCAGAGCCTGGAGCCTGCTTCGCATTCTGTGTCTCCCTCTCTCTCTGCTCCTCCCCCCCCCCCCATGCTCTGTGTCTCTCTCTGGCA